AAACCAGAGGGCATTGTGTTAAGGGAAGTAAGCACAGAGTAACCACACATTCTTACGCAGGCAAACTAAACAGTTAATTTCAAAGATGTGGTTATCAGAGGTTAGGAAGAGGGGATAAAAGGTCAAATAACGTTAAAATACAAGTAGATAGGCAGAATAACTTTCACAGCACAGCTGGGTGACTAGAGGTTGTAGCAATTTATTACATATTTTAGAACGAACTAGGAAAGAAGAGTTTGAAAGTTTCTACCACAAATACTAAATGTTTAAGAAGATGGCAATGCTAATTATCCAAATTTGATCATTGTATCAGATTCCCACACTATACCCAATACGTACAATTATTATGTATCAGTGAAAAAAATTAAACATATATTCACTATAGAAAAGGATTCAGGACATACCTTTTTCTACACAAAAGAACTTAGGTCCTTTTTTTTTTATGACATAGTCAATGTGGTTTAAGAAAGTTACTTTTTTAAAAAACTCTCTCGTGTTTTCTACCATTAATACTGGGGAGAGCATTTTCAGGAGTCATACCTGCCACAGACTAACTTTGAGACCTCAGTGGTCCTTAGGCTTCTTCAAGTGTACATTGAAATAATAAAGACCCTGTAAATTTTAAATGGGAAATAAGGTTGTCACAGTTACTAGCACAGTGCTTCTATATTCTAGGAGCTCAATAAATATTGCTTTCCATAGTTCTGTTTCTTACATACTTTTTTGAAAAGAGAATTGATATTTGATATTTGTTGACTCCATTCAACTCATTTGAGGTGATTATAGTCAGCTTACTCTTCTCATGACTGAACTTACCTAGATCAGAAAGGAGTTCTTTGTGGCCAGCAACAGTTAACATCTTTCGGGCTTTACCCATCTCATTGTCCTTTAAATGATTAACTTCTTTGGCTTCCACTGTATTTTCTGTGGGACCTCTTGTAGCCACTTGAAATTCTGTCTTAGTCTTGTAAGAAAACTTCTCTTTTTCTTTATGCTTATGTCACGTAGGTCTACATCTTTAACACTCTTCTACTTGCTTTGCCTGTTAAACACTTTTATAGCCACCTATCTTCTATATAGCATGTACTTCCAAGCTATTTTTCTAGCCTCTAGCTCTCTTCTAAATGATATGCCTAATACTCACACTTGGTAGAGAAGAACTCTTTCTGATTCTTCCAAAACAGCTTGTGTCAATATTACTTTCTCTCTATGTCTGCTCCTTCATGCCTAATAACCTAAAACATTTTTTCATAATTACTAAAATTACAAACTGAATTGTTTCTACTCCAACCAGATCTCATAACCGGACTCTGATATTACCTCCTAATGTTGTACCCTAGAAGAGATTTAAATTATGAACCAACTCTGCTTTTAACTAGGTCTTACCTCTGAAAAAACAGATGCTCCTTCTATTTTTTTTTTTTTAGTGGTTCTGGAATTTGAACTCAGTGCCTCATCCTTGTTAGGCAGACACTTTACCACTTGAGCCACTCCACCAGCCATAGATGCTCTCTCTGGGCCTCAGTTTTTCTCATGTTTAAAAATGTTTGCTCCAAAACAAACAATGAGCCAACTCAGCAGACTAGAACCCATGGCCAAATATAATCTGTACCTGTTTTTGTTATGGTTCCTTTAAGACTTAATAAGACATTTTAACAGCTTGTTTTAATTTATTTATCATTAGAACTCACTAACAGAAATTATTGCTTTTTTTCCTGTTTTGTTTTGGTTTTTGTGGTGGTAGTTGTTTGAACTTAGGGCCTCCCACTTGCTAAGCAGGTATTCTACCACTTGAGCCACTCCACCAGCCCACATTTTTTCTTTCTTGAGAAAGGACCATGTCATAGTAAAGTATTCTTCTTTAGTGTCATATTTAAGAGCTTTTTGAATTTTTTGTATTCTGTAGTACGTGGTGAATCCTGTTAGTCAGTTTGGGAAGAATTTGCCCTTAAAACTTAAAAATAATAAAAATAAAAAATAATTATAGTTAAATATTTAGCAAGAGTAATTAAATGTAGAACATACTGTGATGTTGATATGTCTGTTTCCCCATCTAATAACCTTAGCGATTCAAAATTATGTGACTGTAAATCAATGAAATCATTACCATATTGTTCTGGCAAGCTTCTTTATTTACCTAATTGCTTTTTTAGAGTAATTGATAGTGAATATATCAATGCCATTTTCATTTACAAGTTAGTAATTAAAGCTTCTTAAAAGTCACAAATCCACATTTTGAAGGTGAAGAACACAGCTGGTTAAATTCTGACAAGTAGTTTTAAGTATAATTAAGAATCCTTTTTATATCATTTCTGTTCATCAAAGCAGGTTATGTCCCAGTATGATCACAGATGTTTCCACATACATGTGCTAATATGTATTGAAGAGGGATACTACATGTGATAAAAAGGAGTAGAGTAAAACGTTATAAATGTTGGGCCTTAATGATAAATATATACTAACCTGCAACATTTTGAAATGCCTCAAAAAATAAAATGTGTTGATATATGTATAGAAGGTTGGAAATGCGATGAGCCAAATGTAGTAACTAGTTGGGTAAAATGTTTTAAAGGGCAGTGCCTCTGAATTTAAGGAAACAGGTGTAGGAGTGAACATACACATAGCACATCTTCTGGCTTTCGCATTAAATTAAAACTTTATATAGTAAGCATACCTTGTGTATTTTGGCATGTGTCTCAGCCATTTTGTTATTTATTTCATGGATCTACTTCTATGAAACATATAAAACAATAAAAATTTTAATGTGAGGAGCATCCCAACTCTTTTTTATACAGTGTAATTCTTGAATTCTCTCATGCAGCTCCTGTAGGAAAATAAACTAAATGTCTGGTGTCTGGTAACTCCAAGTAATCTGTGTCCATACAGTAAAAGGATATATTTACCAGTATTTAGCTATTACTACTTTTGTCATACTTACCAGCTCATAGAGTTAGGACTTTGTCATTGTTACATAGAGGAGGGCTGCACAACAAATAAGCACTTTTGTAAATGTCACAGTGTACCCCAGTACAACAATAATATAATAAATTTTTTAAAGAATCAAAAAATAAAATTTATTTTGTAAATTATTTTACATATTTGCTATTTATGAGGTCTTTATATATATTCTTTATTTTTAGTTGACACATAGTAATACACATTTGTGGGTTGATATTTCAGTATATGTATATATAATGTATATCATATCAGGGTAGTTGACATATGTCTTTTTATTAGAAATGTTCAGAACCCTCTGTAACAGCTATTTTGAAATACTCAGCTATTTTTTGTCAACCATAGTTAATACTACTGTGCTTTAGAACATTATAAAATTATTTTCCCTAACCATCCACACTACTAACCTATTAACCATCCTCCCCCATACTCTTCCCACGCTGTGGTAATCTTTGTTCTACTCTCTACTTCTTTGAGATCAACTTTTAGGTTTCATCTAAGTGATACTGATTTTTCTCTGCCTGAGTTATTTCACTTAATATAAATGTCCTTCCATTCCTACCATGTGTTGATGCAAATGACAGAATTTTGTTCTTTTTTATGGCTGAATAATCCATTGTGTATATGTACCACATTTTCTTTATCCATTCATCTGCTAGGTATGATGGGTACCTAGGTTGATTTGGTATCTTGGCTGTTGTGAACAGTGCCTCAGTAAACATGTGAGTGCAGATGTCTCTTCAGTATTTTCTGAATGATAAGAGTTCTTCATATATTCTAAATACTTTGCAGAATGTTTCTCAAATGTTTTCTTTGTCTGTGATTGTCTTTTCTTAAGAGTACCTTTTGAAGAACAAACCATTTAAAAGTTCAGTGAAGTTATGAAAGTTTTAATGGGGTCTAAAGAATTAGAACTAAGAAAAAAATGGAAATTGTCACTTTGCTCTGAGTGTTTTTAGAACTATCCCTGATTATTTATTCAGTGATTGGTACCACAAACTAGGTACTTGCACCCTTGCATTACTCTCCTTTAGTGCAACTATCCTTAAATTGTAAATGGTCTACTACTTTATTTCAATAAACTTATTTTGTACTAAGTCCTAGAGTTAAAAAGATAGGTCATGTATGGTATCTGTCTTCACAGTGTGCTCATGTTTCTTGCTTATACTTGTCTTGTGCAGCCAGGATCATGTACTTAACTTTGTCCCATGCCTAATACAGTTTTAGAAGCAAAGAAGTGCTCAATATATTTTTGCCTTCCATTATAATTACGCTTATTTCAGTATACAAATATGTGAGTTCTTTGTAGCAGGAAATCTCTTGTTTTCTGTGTCCTCCACAGATCCTAATGTAGTTCCTATATACTGGGGACACTCACCAAATATTCAGTGATTGAGCAAAATTAGTGATGACAGTACTTGAGAAGGTTCTCTGATTAGCACATTGGTAATCTAACCTTTGGCTATACCTTATTAAGTAAGTAAAAGATACTCTCATCTCAGATGTTTACCAGTGCAAATAAGTTGTTTTTCTAAACTGAATAAAGCTGCCTGATTTTCACCTTAAATTTTTTTGTTAGTTATTTGGTTGGTTAGTTGGTTAGTGCTGGAATCAAACTTAGAACCTCACATATTCTTTTTCCTTTTGGGGAACCTGTTTGAAATTAACCCATATACTATATGCCAGGCTGCAACACTGTGAAGCCAACTTAAATATTACTTTTCCTCCTTTCACACCTACCAACACCAGTGTTCAGATATGACAGGAAAGGGTATCAAAGGGTTACTTGAATATTTTTTAGTAATTTTTTATGATCCGGATTTAACATCAGTATTATCATATAAGTCTATCAAAGAAGATAATATAGCATGGAGTTTGTAGTCAGTTACAAATTAAAAGGCTTTGTCAAAGTATGCTGTATTTACTGAAATTATATGCTTTATTAAGTTTGAAATTCCCTTTTTTCATTAAAACCAATGCATTGAAACAAAAAGACTATTTGTAAGTGTACAAAAAAGATGGCAATAATTTCTTTATTTATCTAGGTCCTGGGAACACCAACAAGGGAGCAAATTAGAGAAATGAACCCAAATTATACAGAATTCAAATTCCCTCAAATTAAGGCACATCCTTGGACAAAGGTGAGTTAAGAGAGTACATCAACCAACAGTTAACTAAAACTTTGTCAGTGTTCCTAAACTAAACTATTTTGAAACCACATAGCTTCCCTAATACAAGTGCAGAGCAGTTCTGCATATAAAGATAGTTGAGTAGTTGTCTTTCAGTTTCATTGACTATGTATAGTTTTATTCCCGTTGATTTCCTATAGACAGTTTCCAGCTGGACTTTCATTTGCAAGGTAAGAACAATGTGCATATATCTTTAAAATATTGGAGCAGGATCTGATACATAAATTTTGGAAATCTAAAATTCAGAACTCAATTTCTTTATTTACATAGAGGTACATAGTTCATTATCATATAGCAAATAATAACATACATTTCATATGTTTTCTTTATTCCTTTAAGCCACTAAAATATATACCTTATTATAGATGATACTGTGTATTTTTATTTGTATTCCTATGGATATTTTGGGAGCTATTACAAAGCTGATGTATTCTGCCAGGAGTACACATTGAAAGCAGTTAGTATGTTTATAGGATGTCAGTAGCCATTGGAAAGCCTAATCTTAACATTAGATAGAACCAATTCTAAAGAGCACAATTACTTATTTGCTAGATGACCTTTTTTTGCTTTGATATTAACTGAAATTATTTTGAGAAAGATTTTATTTCACAGTTTTTTTTTCACCTCAGTTTGATTTGTGAAAGTAAGTATGCAGAGAAAACCATAGAATAGCTTAGGGTTTATAGTTAGAGTCAATCTCTAGCTTCCTTTTTTTGCAGATTCAAAAACTCTGGCCATAGATATCAAGTGAGTTATCTAAGACTATATATAGGTGTCTTGTGACAAAGTAAGCATTAAATTGTGCTTGTGCGTGGTGTGCATTCACATGTGTGCACACATATGTTTAAGTCTGGATCTTTTAAGCTTATAGTAATGTGCCAGGCACCATTTACATACATATATGTATATCATGTATTTTTTGTGGATTAGAAATGGTCAACTTTTTAGTATGTATTTCAAGAAGAGACTTTCTGTATTTAAATTGTCCACGTGGTAGAGCACCTACCCAGCAATCATAAGACCCCTGAGTTCAAACCCCTATACCACCAAAAAAAGAAAAATTCCATATAACAGTTTGTTTTGTGCATTGATAAGTTCATTTAGTTAGTTATAAGTTTTTTATAATAAAAGGTAATGTAATGTAGGCTATAGATAAATAAATTTATACTTCATAGAATCAAAGTAGGCCTGTTTCCTTCTCCCTCCCCCTCCCTTTCCCTCTTCAGTTGTATTATGATTCCAGCTACTTAAAGTTGTCACACTCTCATTACCTCTCTTTAGAAAATCTTTATGACTAGTTATTTCTTTCCTATTTGAAACAAAGACCTCAGTAGTATTTTAGTGTTTTGTAATAATATTTAGGCACTATCATTCTTTACTGGCCAGAAATCAAGGTGTTGCCCCCTTCGTTTTTAGGATTGATCATAAGCACTAGTCTTTGGTAAAGAGTTTTTACTTAGAGTGTGTTTTGAATTTGAGTCAGAAGATATTAGGGGCTGTCACATGGCTTTAAACCCAGAGAATCCCAGGTGACCTGATGGATTTGGGGGATAAGCTGCAGTTTGGATCCATTAAAGTTATTAAAAGTAAAAGTGTTTATAGTAAGTGATTAGAAGTATACTATGATGTCAACTAGGTTAAGGGGAAAGCAAAAAAAAAAAACAACATGGAAAACTGTGTATTGAATAAATACAAGGAGTTATTCCAAAACACATTTGAGTAAAAGGAGCGTGAATAATTTTATTTTCTTTGTTTTGTGTATCCATATTTCCATATATTCTCTAATAACCATATTTTCATGCGTGAAGAAAGGGAAATTTCATTTTTTGGTATAATCTTAAGTATTTATCATATGTAGAACACACAAATAGAGTGATGAAATTGAGATCATGGGATCCCAACAGTCCCCAACCTCATTTTCTCTCTCACTCTCTTTTTAATCAACACTACCACCTACATTAGTGTGTATCATATTCTGCATTTTTCCTCTGGATTATATCTTTCCAATACAAGTATTAGCCAGAGTGAAATGTGAGGAATGGTTGATTATAATTAAAATGCAGGTAACAGACTGGTCCCAGTGTCTCATACCTGTAATCCCAGTTACTTAGGAGGCAGAGATAAGAATTTTTAAGCCTGCCCTGAACAAAAACCAGACGCTCTTTGAGAGTGCCTGCCTAACAAGCATGAAGCCCTGAGTTCAAGCTCTAATACAGCCAAAAAATAATAATAATAAAATGTAGCAAACAGAAGAACTGTGGTAAAATGGTATGCTTCAAATTTTCCTTTGCCCTCTTGGATTCCTAATGTTTCTCTAATATCCTTAATGCTTTTCAAACTTAAATAATCTATATAAAAGCCCTTTTACTTAGGTCTCATTCCTATGCTATGCATAGATAATGTCTCAATTCTCTTATCTTTTCTGTTAAGATTACTATGAACCCTTTCATCTAGTGTTCTTTGACATAATTTGTTCTCACTTCATCTAAATGCATACTATGCAGTGAAAACTTCATACTATATAGTAAGTAGGTTTGTGTTAATTTCTCATTAGCACACAAAACTCAGAAGTTTTGTGGTTCCTTTCTCTCAGCTAGATGATCAAAATATGCCTGTTTTGATTTTTTTTAAAGTTTATTGTCCAAGTAAAAAATACAAAAATTGAAGTTCCTAGGGGTAGCTCCTTCTCATCCTATTATGACAGTTTACAGCAACTTGAGGAATTCTACCTTGGCTATGGAATCATTTAAAAGATGAACATTATGTTCTCTAAAAGGAGAGCATCTTGCCCATGGGGTCTGAAGAACAAGAGTATGAAAACAATAATTGCCTTTCCTTTATTGGTGTCTTTCATTAGAACCCACTCATTTCCTAAAGCTGTGGATAGGTGAAGCCTGGTTTCTTGGGCTGCAGTGTACTACTACAGCTAGATCCCCAGAATGATTAGCTTGTGTTTTCAAAAAAGCAGAAATAAAGAGTAAGGGAGAAAAAAACCCCAAAACTATCTGCCTTGGAACCAATGATATAATAATGCAGCTAAGTAGGAAAGCTAGAGAAAAACCAAAAACACTGAGATGATCCTGTTATAGAATCTTGAGAATGTAAAAATCCATCAAGTTGTCCTTGACCATTACATAATATTGATCGAAACTTGATTCATTAATAAAGCACTTGTTTAAGTAGTCTAGGAAATAGGTGCAGTTGTTTTCAAACAGAGACCATTAGTGGAAGTTGGAAATAAACCCCTCTGCATTGTTGTACACTTGGAGGAAAAAAGAAATGAAAGCAAAAAGCAGTGACAAAAGTAGGTTGAGAATTAAATACATTTAGAGATTGGTTTGGAAAGAAGCAAAGGAAGCTTAAATTCTAAATCCAATATGTGGAGGTATGGTTAAATGACAGGTTGTTAGATATGAAGTAAGGATTAAACACAGCTACTCCTGGCGTTTATGCTTCAACCATTTTCTTTTGTAAGGTAGTGGTTATCTGCCATGTCTTTTCTTCGGATTCTTTTGAAAATACAGCTATAACATGCTTATAAAGGATTATTTTATTTTAGTTCTAAATAAATGTGTAAGTTCTACCTCCAGAATACTTCTCTGATTTACCCTTTTTTTCTTTTTTTCTCTCTACCACCCTGGCCTTAGTTTAGGCTATTGTTATATCATAGAATTGTAAAATAAACCTACCTCCAAACTGATTTCACTCCTTCAGTTTTATACCATTTCAATCCATCCTACTCATTGCTGTCAAAGTCAGCATTCTGAAAAGTAGCTCTGATATTTGTCATTCCTTTTTAAAACTCTTCTCTTAATTCCTCATAGTGTTTAGGAAAGTTTGTCATAAATTACATATAATGAATGACAAGGGTGATTGTCCTGATTTATGCTTATCTAGTATAATTATAAATTGCTTATTTCTTTACTCTCAAAAGTGTCCTCATTTGGATGACACATTATTAATCACTTTGTTCTTAATCTTTTCTACCTTTACTTTCCAGGAAAAAGGTTGGTTCTGTTCCTGCTCCTAACTGTTTCCCAAGTTCCCCCAAATTCATCCATCCTTAAATGCATATTGTTAACAAATGACTTTAAAAGTTTAGTAGATTAGGGATTTCTAATATGATTACATTATTCTAGGACTGGGGGCATGACTCACATGGTAGAGTATCTATCTAGCAAACATGAGGCCCTGAATTCAATTGCCCAGTACTACAAAAAAATAAATGAAATTTTAAAAATTACATTATTGTTATGTGAGGGTTCTTCCCTTACCCCCCTCCCCAGTTTCTGTATGGTAAGTATCCTTTCTTTGGCCTGGTAATAAATAATCCTATGAGGTCAGACAAGGAAGACAGATGTCTGTATGTTCATTCAGAGTAATAGTAATCATAAGTGATAGAAATGGTTTGTGGAAGAAAGTAGACTAGAATCTCAAGGGCCTAATCTCTTACCCTTATATTAGGGTTATTTATTATATCAGCTGTATACAGGAATGTTGTTCAGCTTATAGTTTACTTTGAAAGACTACACACATTTTCTGGTCTAATGAACCTGTTTCCTAATTGTTCCCCAGGGAAAACACATTCATTTCTACCTCTTGCTGGTGTCTTTCCCACCCACCCTCCCAACCCATTCTTATTCTCTGCTTACCAAGTCTTAACCTTTTTCAGGATCTCAGGTCCCTCTTCTCATTGTCCCAAGTTCTCTATAATTATGCCTCCTATCTTATGACTTCTGAAATACCTAAGTCATACCATATGGTTATAGAGTCCCTAACTTCTGTTTTATAATGTTAGTGTGGATATGAATTACCTCAAAGTGTTTGTTACCAAGCTTTTGGCATATATGGTAGTTTAATACTCAGTAGTTAAATGTCCATAGGTTTGTAGGACCATAGGTCATTTGGTAAGTATCCCACAAAACATTATCCACAAAAGCCAATCCTTACAT